GCATTTCACATTTTATAAAAGTGAATATAGCCAATATTACAGGACATAATGGGCCCTCATACAGAGTCTTAAAATACAGTTTGCTGTTGACACTGAAGATGCTGAGACAGGATCATCAGTTTTGAATAACAACCATCTATTTTCTTTTTGTGATGCTTTTAATGTAGAAGGAAAGAGGTTTTTTCAGAATGGAAATGTTGCTTGATTTGGGTGTTTAACATTTCCACCATAACACTGTATACTAGTCCCCCCTCATCCATGGGAGATATGTCCCAAGACCCCCAGTGGATGCCTGAAAGAGTGAAGAGTACAGATGCAAGTGTGGATAGTACGAAACCCTATTTATACTGATTTTTCCCTATAGATACATAACTTCTCACTTACAGGAAGCACTTTATGGCTTTTCTTTGGCATCCAAATTGCCAGCCTTTCTACTCTTGCACTTTGTAGAAATGATTAAGTAAGTAAGGGATTGCTTGAGCACCATCACTGTGATAGAGTTGATCCATGTGAAAACCTAGATGGATACTAAGTGACCAATGAGCCGAGCGTGTACACAACGTGGACACACATCCTGGGTGGGACAGAGCAGGGTGGCCGGAGACTTCATCACACGACCCAGAACAGCACACACTTTAAAACATAAACTGTTTATTTCTGCCATTTTCCCTTTGATTTGTTTAGACTGTGGTTCACCATGGGTAACTAAAAACATGGCAAACAAAACAGTAGATAAGAGGGAACTACTATGGTGCTTTATGAAACCACAAACTATGGATATTTTCAAGGTGGAATGATATACGTGTAAGTATATGCAGGGCTAGAACTTTAATTTTTGAAATGTGTCAGAAGAAATCATAATTTTCTGTAATAAACTAGGTCATTTAAATGACACCATTTTAAAGGATCCACCAAATCTGTTACTGGTGCCATTAAAATCTTCGGACGCTTTTGCCAACAATCCCAGTCTTTATGATAAGTCCAATAATACAGTGGTTCTGAACTCTTGTGATATGCTACCTCATTCAAATATTTCAATAACGATATGTTTAGGTTAGTGTTTCTCCGGCTTGACCATGTTAAAAACTACCTGGGGATCTTGTTGAAATTCAGGCTCTTATGCAGTTAGGGCCTGAGACTCTGATTTCTAAAAAGCCATCACTGCCTCGGCTGCTGCTGGTTCAGAGAGTACCGCCTGGATGGCAGCAGCCCGGGTCTGTTTCTGGGTCACAGACGATGCAGAGTCCAGAGCTTTGGCCATACCCCTGCTACACTTTGCCTATTTTGATGGATGTGAATGTAGAAAGGCAATCACTTCTGAACATCCTGTTTGTACCTTGTTTGGGTTTGTCTCGCATAGGGGTCATGTAGCCTTCCTCATCCAGCTCTCCTCGTGGGCTCCGTTCCGGGGCAAACACCGTGGGGTCGGCGCTGTACCTCTGGGTGCTGCTATCTTCTTGGACATGGGGTGCCACCGGCTTGCGTAGGGTGCCATTGCAGCAGGCGTCATCAAACATCTCGGCTGTGGCCCCCTGAGCAACGGGAGCTTCTGGGATGGTGCTGGTCGTGGCTCTGTAGGGCACGGGCACTCCCTGCTCTGCGGCAAAACCCCCATCTCGGTACACAAATTGGTTCTGTCAATAGTAGAGACACATTCAGACAACAGTTACTGTTAGGAAGAGTTGCAAAAAATGAATGTGAAAAGCTAAAGGATATGGAAGCTCGTCTTTCAGAAACATGTCAGGTTTGATTTTTGATTGTTTGGTTGTTTTAATTTACCTTATTTCCCCTAGTGGCTAATGGCATTCAGTTACAGACTAATCACACCTAAAATTCCAATTTTTCTTAAAAATTTAAGTCATGGAAAACAATTTGGAACTATATATAATCTCTTAATATTACTAAGCACCTACCCCCATATGATCTAATAAACATAGTTCACATTTCCCCCCCCACCATTGCCCGTTTTTGATAGAAAATTCAAAGTGAATTTTCATGACATATAGCAACATAGTTAATTATAGGCAGTTGCCATTAAGAACAGAAGCACATTGGTGCCATTTGAGTGGCGATGTTTCCTTACTGCATTCTACTCTGTAGTTACTATGACTGTGAGTCTCCAGTACCTAACTGGAGAGTGTCTCACTTTTTAGCACACGACCTATCATCATGGTAGTCAAGATAACCTCCTCACTAGAGATATAACTTATGAGCCCGGGTAAAAATCAAAAGCTACTGTTGATGCATAATATCTCCATTTTGGATTATCTACTGAAATAATAATAGATATCTAAAAAAGTCTGCTTCACAATCTACAGCAAATGCTTAACTTACTGTTGGCAAAGGCAAAATGAGGAAATTATAGGGAGACAAGAGAGAGGAAACATGGTAAGCAAAGACCAAAAATCCTAATAGATGAAGGTCGATTGTGAAATACTTACTCCTGACATGGGGGTGTAGGCGGGAGGAGGGCTGTGTCCAATTTCACTCTAATAGGAAAGAAAAATGGAATGATGGATATAATAAGAGGTAATATGAATGAAAAAAAGAAAGAAAAAGAAAAGCCACACGAGTCGTATGAACCAGAGAGGAAACCATGCACAACAGTGAAGTTTGCTAAAGGGTAAAATTCTACACACTTTGACTACAAGCAAGTTTATTGATGTGTTTTGAGGAGATTAAATATTTTAACTTAGTCCCTAGATAGGAAAATTATGTATAAAAAGTAAAATTTTTAAATGTATTAAAAATTAAGTGGACAATGATTATTCCTCTGATTAGCCCTAGGAGAAAGGGAAAAACAGTGAATGATTAACTGTAATTTTAAACAAGGAAGAGTTTTCTTCATTAATGTTAAATAACTGAAATGGCCTCATACCATAGCCATTAACTTTTCCCTTATAAGAAGACATTTCTCTCAAAGCAGATAGAAGTGGATTTCGATTTGCCTGGAATATTGTTTTTTTTTCTAACAACTTACATATATTTTTCACCATTTTGGCAATGGGTCAATTTCTTCTTTTTTTTAAGTTACTGTTTAACTTTAATTTATTTATTTACTTTTAAAATATATTTTCATTGATTTCAGAAAGGAAGGGAGAGGGAGAGAGAGAAACATCAATGATGAGAAAGAATCATTGATCTACTGTCTCCTGCATGCCCCCTACTGGGAATCGAGCCCACAACCCACAACCTGGACATGTGCCCTAGTCTGGAATCAAACCTGGGACCCTTCAGTCCACAGGTCGATGCTCTATCCACTGAGCCAAACCGGGCAAAGTGTTAATTTCTTAACCTTTCCTTATAAAAAGGTACATGCTCTTTCTCTTCAGTCTTTTTTTTTTTTAATGTGAGATCTATGGGGCGGGGGATTGAGCCCACAACCTAGGCATGTGCCCTTGGCTGGAATCAAATATGGGACCCTTTAGTCTGCAGGCTGACGCTCTATCCACTAAGCCAAACCGGCTAGTGCTCAGTCTTATTTTTTTTTAAAGCTAAGAAACAGCAGAAAATTTTAGGAAATTAATTTATTTCCTAGAAACCTGCTTTATTTACTTTATTTTCATTTATTTAGAACCAGTAAAATCAAATTGCAGTTAAAAAACAACAACAACAACACAAAACAAGCCCTGGACGGTGTGGCTCAGTGGCTTAAGTGTCCTCCCATGCATGCCCCAGGAGGTTACTGGTTTGATTCCTGGTCAGAGCACAAGCCTGGGTTGTGGGCTCCATCCCCAGTAAGGGTATGCAGGAGGCAACCAATCAATGTTTCTCTCTCATTGATGTTTCTATCTCTCTTTCCCTTCCTCTCTCTCTAAAATCAATAAAAACATTTTAAAAAACAATAGCAAAAATATCTATTTTCTTATAGTTCAATAAACCATCCAGCCTATGGGCTAAGTAAAAGTAGATACAAAAATAAAATAAAACATTAAAGACAATGTTCCTTAGGGTAAGTAGAGGGGGTTGTACAAATACCAACTCTGTTTCTTAACAAAAACTTGCATATAGAAATGTATTCATTAAACACATTGCTGAGAACCTACTGTCTATGTGGCCAGGCACTTTTCTAGGCACTGGAGATAACTGAGAAAATAAAAACAGTTGGTTTGATAAAGCTTGTATTCTCTACAATTTGTCTTTTAATGAACAAAGACAACTAAACTAAACCTCAAAGACAACATCTTGCAACATCAATGAAATATAGCTGACTATTATTCCAGGTCAATTTTTTTTTTTTTTACCACTTAGAGATTCACAAAACAATCTAAGAAGAATATGGTCTCATGGAGGTGAGCTGTTTAATGTAATTAGTAATTACTGGATAGTACAATTCCTTTAACTTAGTCTGTTGGACTAGCCAAGGGGCAAGTTATAAACCTGTGAGTTATGCACAGTGAGATTACATTTGAACTTTCCACACAACTTAGTCCCTTACATGATGGCATAGAAAATATTTATTTCTTCCCTTCTCTGATAACAAAACTTAAAGACACATTAAAAGGCATGGAAAGTTAGAGGTATAATTAAAATGTAATGCCTAGGAAGTGGTATTCCACATTAAATAGACAGATCGCCTTATGAGTTCCAGTCCCAATTATAGGTGATGTGGCCAGTCATGAAACACCTCAGATCCTCATTTTCATTCTTGGCCTCTCTACCTCATTCTTAGTGCAGACAAAGTAAGTTAATTTTTATAACTGAACTTCGAAAGCTCTGCACATATGTAGAGAATATATAAAATTTAAATATTCACATCTGCTAAATCGGATTTTTAAAGTCAAACAATTAAAATGCCAAAGCTACTCATCAAAAAGGCATTTAAAAATGCTTACCTGTTCTACATTTCTTTAAATATAGGTTTTTTTTTTGCTAACTTTTAGAAAGATATGAAATCAAATATATTGTTCATATAATTTGAGAAAGGAATTTTGTGTATAGTCCAGTGATATACAAAATAGATGGATGGTATGAGAAATACAATTGCCTGGTGGTACTTTATTGTATTACAACCCTTGGTTTTACCCTATCATTAAACCCTCATCATTTCACACGCATTTAACAAAGATTTATTAATTCTCTAAAATAAAAGCACAAGAATGGTGGAAGATGCTGGAGGTATCATGATGTGTTAAGAAACACATGGTCACTGGCCTTTTGGAATTTACACTGTACTATCACACATTACCTGAGATTATTAGAAGAAATGGCGAGAAGGAAATGAGGCAGCAGTGGATTTATTTCAATTACATGATTACAGATTGGAAGATAAGGTATAAAAAAATATTAGTAATTACCAGTGTTCCTTTCACTTTTTACTTTGCAAGAGTTGCTGTACTAGGTGATGTTTGATTGGAATCACACTGAGGAAACAGCCTTGATTCTTCATCAGGAAGTACTTTATTATCTATTTTCATGATCTGGGCCACACCACCTTCAGCGGTAAAGGCATGATACTAACAATAACGAGCCCTCATGCGCAGTCTGTTCAGACACAGGAAGTGAGGCGCTGTCCTGCTAGAATGCATCCACTGTCCCTGCCCTGAGAAGTCTTTCTGTGAACAACCTGCCAACTCCATCTGGATAGACTGCCAGATACCATCACAGGAACAGGAGCGTCTTCATGCTTTTGCTACTTTTAAATGCTTTTTGTTACATTAAAATAGAAAAAAATGCTAAGCAAAGCCCCTTTAGCATTCATTGTTCTTTAGGGTTATTGGCTGCTTTTTATGTTTGTGCTTCCATTTTTTTCCCTTTTTTCTCTTTTCTATTTTCCATGATGAAAAGCACCTCATTCATATCCCCCTGGAAGGGCAGTGCAGCTACAAGGGAACATCTGTGAGGCCAATTAGCTGGGCTGGGAATGTGATATAATTGTTGTTTAAATATATTTAAATTACATGTTAATCGCTATGTCATAATTTATGGGCTTTGAAAATAACTTCTTGTACTTGAGAGCCAAGCCAGATTTTACTTGTTTTTTGCTGTTTTTAGTTTGTGCAGCAAGCTCTTATTGCCTGCCACCTCCCGCCCCCCAACCCCCCACACTTCTACTTGCTTTTTGCTGTTTTTAGTTTGTGCAGCAAGCTCTTCTCATTGCCTGCCACCTCCCGCCCCCCAACCCCCCACACTTGAAGAGCTGAACTTTAACAGCGGAAAGAATGACAGCTGCAAGTAAATTGGTTGAGTAGAAATTAAGATCCCCACCGTCAGAATGAGCTGGAGTGACCTTAACGTTCTGCCCAGAACAAAGCGGCGCCCTCAGTGAAAGGCTTTTGTTTTTCCGTTGTGCCACTTTCCGCTGTCCGTCAAAGCCCAGCCTTGCAGACCTTCAGGAAGCAGCCTGGGCGCATCTGTTCAATTAGCTGGTGAGGGGAGTTACTGTGAGCAGCGTGGAGATAGTGGAGGTGGGTTATAAACGGGCAGGTGATAGGGAGAATTCTTTTTTCCTGGTGGGGTATTTGTAAGGGTGATGGAGAGAATTTAATTTAATTTTGTTGCCATGTCACTGGGACATTGTATGATTAACTCGGACTCAAATGCCAGAGGGTATAGAGAAGGCAAATGTCAGCATATATCACATACAGTGTGAAAAGCACTTTCACATACATCGTGTCCTAAAATTTACTTTTTAGTCGAATGATCAAGATTTGAACCTGTGTTATTACATGCACTGTGTTTCTCATATTTATTGTTTTAATTAAAATGTTGTATTATTTAATATTGTTCTTGGAAAATTTTGAATTGTTAACCAGATGAACTGTGCCTTATGATTTTAAAAATACATATCATACAAATCTATCTACTCACAAAACAAACAAAAGCACGAGCTTAATGCCTGACTTCCATCTAAATTAAGCATGTTCTTAATGAGAGCCAGTTTTTAAAAATTTTCAGATAATTGTTTCTATCAATATTAACTATAGGATTAAAGTTTCTAAGGCCAAGAAACACTCTAATCCTTTTAACTAAAATAGCATGTGTCTCTGTAAGATGTTGCTAATGCATCACTACTAATTTATTACATAGACACTACCCATGTATTTTATCCTCTCTGACATATATTCTTAACTTCCGATGGGCATTTTTACATTTTCTCAGGCCAGGTAGCTGATGGATTTATTGTTGTTGGCCTTATGTACAATTCCTGATTCATGGCTCTATCTTTTCCCCTACTGAGTTCAACATAAGAATATTTGAGACATCTAGATTTAGAATCTTCATTTTTCATAGAACAATCAGAAGAAAAAAACAAAATGTGGCCATATACAAAACACAGTAAGGACTGGGGTAAGCTTATTGAATCTAGGCAGCTGCTTACACACACACACACACACACACACACACACACACACACACACTCATACACACACATATACTATATCCAAATGCATATATTTCACAAGTGTCTTTTGTCTATTTGTGTTTATTTATTAATGTATTTATTTATTTATTTGGTTTAATTAT